TAGGTAGTTAGGTGTGGGAGGCCTTTTGGCCGGTGTTTGTGGATTATGGTATACTGGAGTAGAAATTAATGGCACGCTGTGTGTGCGTGTGTGTAAGACCTTTGGCCGATGTTTGCTATGTTGATATGATGAGTAGTGACATGTTGTATTTATGACCACTCAGTGGTTGATGGGGCACTCCCCCAGTCAGGTGTGTGGGAGGTTGTTTGGTCGACATTGGTGGAGTTTGGTTAGGCCATTCAGTGGTCGTTACCGCAGGAATAGTAGTTTGTATTTGACATTGTGGTGTGGTAGTGCACGGGGCTATGTAATGGCCGATATGAGGATTGTGGTTGCTGTTGGGGTGGGGCCCCTAGATGCAACGAAGGTGTGCGTGTATGGTCTTGGTGGACTGGTGTTTGATGAGAGGTGGGGTAGATTGAGAGGGTGTATAGGGTGGCGTAGGGACTACCGGGATGGTGTCGAGTTGGCAAGGTGCTATGGTAAAAACAAAAGGGTAGAATGCGGGTCTGTTATATGGTTGGAGAATGAGAGCCTAATGGTAAGGGGTTAGGAGGAAGTAGTATTGTCATTTAATAGTCATCAAGGGAGGAAAATAGAATGATAGAAATAATGGAGATGATGTAGGGAGAGAGATCATTTAATTGTCATTCATTAGTATTTGTAATAGCCCAAAACTTAAAAGAAAATAAAGTCATAAATTAAATGCGGAAGCGAAACAATAGAGTTTAGAGTTTACATTCCTTAGACAATAATTTAGAATGCCTAATAGAGTTACGGGAATGTCAATTCTAAAAAAAATTATGAAAATTAAGGAAATAAACAAAAAGCCGATAACTAAGTATTATAGAATGACCTTCATTAGTTTTTGAAGGGAGTCCGGGTGGTAAACTGTTCATAACCCTCTTGTTGATCGAGATCTGAAATAGTTAATGAAATGATGAGCTACATTAGTCAAGTAAGAATATCACACTACTCACTGATACAGAAATTGAAGGTTGGTAAAAATTATAAAAACAACTAATTGAGCTTTTGATTTAAGTAAATTAATTTACCATAAGAAAAACCATTTATTGCATATATTTACCGTTGCGAGATTTCCAAAATCGACCTATAGAGATAATAACTCAAATAACATTATAACCTCATATTCAAGTGAATGAGAACAATAACTTTCTATTTTTATTTGCCTACTGGTATTCTTGAGTGTCCATAGGGATGTCTCACTACGCGTGAATCTATATCCAACATTATTAATAAATCAGTCGTCCCATACCTTGTCCGGTATAAGCACCAAAAATACCATCCCTTAATACTCCATTCAGTATGAGGGTGAATCGGGTCGTTCTCATACCCCATCCGGTATGAACACCAAAAATACCATTCCTCGATACTCCGTCTGGGGTGAGACAACATTCAGGGTAGAGTTCTCTATGTACCCGGTACATCCACCATCTCCTAAGATATCCAGTAAGGCTATCCATTCATTAATTCACATGACCAAATAATTTTTCGTTTGCATATTAATTACCAATTTCACAAATCAACCATAAATCACGCAAGACAAACAACATATATATCAAGGAAGCACAACTGAATCATTCAACTATTGCAGTAAATTATCATGTATTTAAAGTTGTAAATTCAACAATCAGTTACACAAGATAACAATTAAATGACTAATCAGTTTCGGTTCCATTAGTAACCTATAATTATTCTCAAAGTTTTCTAAATTATATAAAGATATTATGCTTCAATTTCATAACAAAGAAATAAGGTAATGGATTCTTACCCAAATCGGTGTCCAAAACACTGAACTTTTTACTATTCCTACTGGCGGTACCCGGATTTTTTAGATTTTTTTGCGGAGATTAAAGCGCGTTTCATGTACTTAAAAATACCTTAAAAAATTCAAAATCAGTGTTAAAAACTTTTTTCGGCCAATTTCAAAATTCTGGCACGGCGGCACCGCCCCCTGCGGTGGTGGTTTACCTCGGCCTGACCGTTTTTGGCCAGTTTTGATCGGTTTCGGCCGGTTTTATATCCATCCTTGTGAGGAAACATGTTAGAGGATCTCGGTTAGCCAAAAAAAGTCAAAAAATAAAAACCTACTGGCGGCAGCTCCGTCGGCTCACCTTCGCGACTGGATGTTTTTCTTTGATCAACCTGTAGAAAATAAAACGGTGAACACAATTGTGAAAAAATCACACGAAATGAAAAACGGAAGGTGGCTTATCAGAGGCGGTTTTGGATTTTACCCGCGGTGGCACCACCGGATTTTGCCTGTGATTTTTTGTTCATCTACAATTTTTTTACTCTGATTTGGCTATTGGGGTACTCAGAATTAAATTCTAAATGGATAGGAGAATATTTACCTTTTTTGGCGGTCGGAGGTGGCTCCGATGTGGCGGATGACGGTGGTCGGCTCCCTTCTGATATCCATTTAGAGGTTTTATAATACGTCTATCTTATTACTCTCTTAATATTTTTCTTTGAATATAACAATATGATAACATAATATGTTAAAAATAAATATATTTTTTATAAAATAACTTTTTTATCTTTTGAAATTAATATTTTATTTAAACATATAATTATTTAGTTTTTAAATATTGTTGATATTTTCCAATCCAATAATTTTTATTTTTACTTTTTTGTATTTTAAGTTTTATTGTTTAGTTTTAAATTTTAGTTTTTTTTTTCAAAAAATTAATATAAATTATCTACATAACGAATTGTAACACACAGGCTCAAAAAGTATACCTAAGATAGTTTAATAATAAAAATAAAATAATTTAATTTTGATTTTTTGTGAATTTTTGAAGAAAATTATGTTTTGGATGCATTTGAAAATATTTTTAAAAATAAGGGATAGAGTAGAAATAAGAGAGAACTTATTTGAAAAAAAATCTGAAAAATTGGGTTAAAAGTAAAAATAATGAAACTTTGGCCACGTGGACCGCCATGTCAGCAGTGCGGCCAATCGTTGTGCGCCACGTGGCAGACACGTGGGCACGCGTCCACGCGGGTGATCTGTGTGCCAATAGATCCAATGGCCCAAATCTCCTCCCGTGTGCATGGATGACCCAGATCCGTTCCCTCTTCAAACGCGATCAAACGATCAGATTCAATACGATTGTGCGGTCCAGATTTATTTCTCGAATAAGAGCAATCAAACGGATGGGAGAGGGTCACGTGTTCTTGCACATGCGACCTAGATTGATTCGAAAAGTGTATTTATACATCACATTCCAGAAAATTCTAACCCTAACCGCACCAGTTTTCGCTGAAGAAGAAGAAGAAAGGCAGCCGGAAAGGAAATCAACCATCGTCGCCACTGTACCGGAGCCACCTCCAATGAAGGAAAGGTAAAATTTTTTTCCCTTTTCATTCAAAATTCGATTTGGAACCTCTCCACATCCATATCAGAGCCTAAAGCCAAAAGGTAAGATAAAAAAGGTGAGCGGAGCTCGACCGAGCCATTGCTACCGCGACTTGAAAACCACTCTAATGAGTCCTTTTTTGTTTCCTGTTCCCTTCAATTTTTTTACCATTGTGCTTCTAATCCTTTCTTGGCTCAGGTCGACCAAAGATAGCCTCTGGCCACGAGAGAGGAATGGCGGAGCTGCCGCATCAGAAGACACCCCCGCAAGTAAAGTTTTGATTTTTTTTTCTTTTATGGCCAACAAAGGTTGCTTAACCCTATTTTTTGCAGGTTTTGGTGTAAAACCGACTAAAATTGGCCGAAAATAGCCAATCTGAGAGGAGACACCACCGTGGGTGGTGGAACCAGCGCTGGAGCACGGCAGCGACACCGTCCTAGAATCCTAAATCGGTTGAAAAGCTTAAAAATGCGTATTTTTGGCATTTTTTTGGGTATTTTATAATACGTGACGTGTGTTTATGATTTCTGCAAAAAAAATTCAGAAAACCTGAGAACCGCTGGAAAGCGCAGTGAAAAAGACATGTTTCGAACACCGACTCGGGGGTAAGAATCCCTCACCCTTTTTTTTCGTTATGGTAAATTAAAATTTAGTAATTAATAACGGTGTATTTTGTAAAAATTAAATTTTTTTTAAATTAACTACAGGTCATCAGTGGAGTTAGAATCGGTCAGAGTATAATTGTCATAGCTATGTTGTCTATTTATTCATATACTGCCTAAATTGCTACTGTTTATTAATTTTAATCGTTTTCTCATTTATTGATTGCTTGACCGTTATTCTCACATGTTGACTGATTCGAAATAAATACCTTAATCACGTTTTCTTGATTGTTTGTATTGTCTATTTACATGTCGTACATTTGATCTGTAAATATGAAATGATTGTGTGTAATTGGTGGCTGGTTAATTATGTGGATATGTATAAAAAGTTTATCAGGTATCCTGGGGAAGGATATACAGACCCTATGCATAGAAAAAATCATACCGTAGACATTACTTCAGTCAAACGGGGCTGAGAAGTCCCATACTGGAAAGAGATGGGAGTTAGAGTTCACTCTTATATTGGACAGGGTATTAAGACGGTGGTATGTTTGACGCTTACTATCGGATGGAGTATGGAGACGACTGATTAATTGATAAATTGAATATTTGGTCCACGTGTAAGGGGAACGCCTATAGCCCCCAGAGATACTGGTAAGTGGGTGAAAATGTAAGTTTATTATTATTGTTCCTTTAAATATGTAATAAATTGCTATATTGGTAACTGCTTTCATGAGTACTTTGGAAACTTAAAAAAGGTAGGTATGAAAGTCATGTTTTGTATTAAATGAATTTATTTAAGAAAGAAAATGACTTCATTAATTATTTTAATGATTTCTACCAACCTTTGGTTTTCCGTATCAGTATTAAGCGTTGACATTTTTGCTAGGACAATGTAGTTTATCCCCTTTATTTAACAATTTCAGATAAAAAAGACTAAGATCCAAATCCTAAATAGTAACAAAGTTGTGACTAAAAGTTTGACTCCCGCATCTACAAGAATTGTTCAGCAAATGTTAACCTTATAGGACTTTAATTATGAATTCTTTATTTTCGTTATTTTCAGTTCGCTAAAAGGACATTCCCGTAACTCTATTGGGCATCCTGATTTATTGTGTAAGAAATATAAACTCTAAATTCATAATTTCTTCAGCTATTATTTCACTACTTCAATATATCTATTTCCATTAAGTTTTGTGTACTGGGTCCGAAGAACAACCCGCGACAAAGTTTTTATTTTTTAATTATTAATTTAAAATAATTGATTATTTTATTTTATTTTTATTTAAGTAGAATTTTGAGAAAAAAATAAATTAGGGACGAGATTAAAAATATTTTTGGGAAAAATATATGAAAATTTAGGTTTTGGAGATGTTTTTGAAAGAAAAATTAGAAACAGATGGTCAAAGTGTAAATATAAAAAGTTCGGCCATGTAGGACGACTTAGTCAGCAGTCTCGACGAACTGGAGCACGCCGCGTGGCAAGACACGCTGACATCGGTACCACGCGGGAGGCCACGTTGGCGATCCGCATGCCCTGCGATTGGATGACCCAGGATCGAGCTCGTGTATGTGGACGACCAGGATTTGTTTTCTCCTTAGATGGTCGAGATCAATCGTGATGGACGGTCCATATTCATTTCCTCCTCAGGTGCAATCAGACGGATGCGATCGATCGCGATAGACGATTCAGATCAATGCGAGATGGTTATAAATACATCATATCACACGGGAACCTGAACCCTAACCGCCAGCCCCCCCGTCGGAGAAGAAGAACTAGACGCTAAAGAAGAAGGCTGACTGCTGACTGCCGCGGTACCGGAGTGACCATCGAACACCAAAAAAGGTAAAAATACCTCTTACTCGTTTGGAATTTGATTTCGAGTACGCTTGTGGCCAAATCGGAGTAAGAGGGATGATGGGTGAGACAAAAATCGCGGCCAAAGCCGGACGGAGCCGCTGGGCTAAAACCCCAAAATCTTTCTGATGAGCCCCTTTTCGATTTTTGTTTCACGTTATTTTTTTTTATTGTGTTCACCGTCCTTTTCTGTGCAGAGTAGCCGAAGAAAGAACCCCAGTCGCGAAGAAGGACCGGTGGAGTTGCTGCACCTGGAGGTCCCCCCCACTTGTAGGTTTAGTTTTTTAGTGATTTCCTGGCCAACCGAGGCCCTCAACGTCTTTTTCTGCAGGGATACGGTCAAAATTGGCCAAAACAGACCAAAACCGGCTAGGCCAAGGCGAATCACCTCCGTGGGCGGCAGAGCCAACACCGGAACCTCAAAATTGGTTAGAATGAGTTTTGGACACCGATTTTGAATTTTGTGAGGTATTTATAGGAATGTGACAAGTGTTTTAGATTCTACATAAAAAATTCAGGAAATTCGGTACCCATTAGGAGGCGTAATAGACAGTTCGATATATTGAAACACCGTTCCGGATAAGGATCCTTCACCCTATTCTCCATTACGGTAAATTCATCCTTAACGATGTATAATTTTGTGTTTTATGAAAAATTAGAAAATCCTAAAAATAATTACATGTTATTAGTGGAGGCGGAACTAGTTAGTTCACAATTGTATTGATTTCCTGTTTATTTTTCTGTATTGTCATACTTGCTTGATTTTCATATAATACATGTTATGAATTTATAGTTCAATAGTCTTATCAACTTATCTAGTTATTTTGGTTATATACCGTTAACATGAATATAATTTAATTAATATGTGAATGTGATATGAGATATTGATATGAATTTATTGGTTGTTTGTTAATAAAAATCTATATGTGAAAGACTTGCTAGTTATCCAGAGAAAGAGCGGACGAACCCGGTACATAGGGAATCCTACAGTGAACGTTACACGAATTTATGAATTTATTTTCCTTTAAGTTCTGAATTTCTATATTTTGGGCATTTACACGAACTTTTTAAAATTTTAATTTTCTGTGTACTTCAACTAATAATATTATATTGTTTGTTTAGAAATTAAACTAAGAAAAATTGTTATGTTTTAATATGTTCAATTAAAATTTCATAAAATAAAAATTAAACTTAATTAATAAAAAAATAATATATTTTAATTATATAATAAATAATATGATATTTATATTACGATAATAATATGAAATTATTCATTAATATATTTATATTTATAAATTATTATTTATTTTAATAATTGATACGTAATTCTTTTATAAAAAATTATAAAATTTTTGGGTATGTTCCTATATGTTATCCTACTCATCCTATTTATGAGCAGTATATGTGTATTAATTAATTCGTAAATATATATAACTTTTATAAAAAAATACTATTGTATTTATAGATATCTCAATATATTTCTTAGATAATTTTTAATAAGTCATGCTTAAATTATATATATATATAGTAAATAATATTATTTATGACATCACGAACGCTCTAATCATAATTAAAAAAGAATCCAAAATGCTGAAAAGCTGTAAAGTTAATATCAGTCTTCATTCTATGAAAGACATAATTTATTTATTTATTTATTAATTTTAAAAAGAATTATTATTATACATAACTAACCTTTTACTCATTATTGATTAATTTTTTTAAAAAAAAATCCAAAATTTACATAAAACTCATTAAAAAAAATTGTATACACGTGTAAAAATTAAAAAAATTGAGTCAGGTTTTAAATAATTTTATTTTATTCCATACTTTGAACAAGCAAACTAATCATGTATTCAGATCAAATACGTAATCCAATTTATGATGCCAAATAATTTATTAAAAAAATACATTAAATATATAACTTTTTTAGGATTATAATGATATTTGATAATCTAAAATATTATAAAATTAAATTTAAATAGCTTTAATACCAAGGTGTCATGCTACTTAAACATGAAGCTGGTTTAAGTGTCTAATAAATTTGGAATTTTGGTGATTAAGTCGGAATTTATATTTATTAAAATTATTAATTTTTTTGTTTTTGTAAATTTAGACATATTGTCAATTTACGTAAAATTAATTTTTATTTTATTTTAAGGATTAATTTTTCAAACATTATTAATTAGAATTGAGATTTGAAGAGAATTTGAAAAAAAAATTATTACTTTTAAGTTGCTTAATTTATTTATGAATAGAGATTTTTATTGGGAAAAAAAAAATAGTTATTCAAGTTGCTTGATTCAATATGTATATATGGTGTGTGT